TATCTGTTGTTAACTGATAGCAGTGAACCAGAATGTTTTGAGGAAGCGTTGCAGGTTGAGTCCAAAAAGGAATGGGAGTATGCGATGGATAATGAGATAGATTCTCTCTCATCAAATCAGAATTGGGAATTGGTTCAATTGCCCAAGGGGGAGAGAGCTTTGCACAACAAGTGGGTTTACAGGATTAAGGAAGAATCTGATGGGAGCAAACGGTACAAGGCAAGGTTGGTAGTCAAAGGTTTTGAGCAGAAATAAGGTATAGACTACACTGAAATCTTTGCTCCTGTTGTTAAGACTTCTACTATCAGATGCATCCTTAATATTGTGGTTGTTGAGAACTTGCATTTAGAGCAGTTGGATGTTAAAATTGCTTTCTTTCATGGGGATTTGGAGGAGGACATCTATATGTATCAACCAGAGGGTTATGTTGTGAAAGACAGGGAGAATTAGGTGTGCAAGTTGAGGAAGAGTCTGTATGGGTTGAAACAGGCTCCGAGGCAATGATATAAAAGGTTTGATACCTTTATGGCAGCTACAGGGTTTAATAAATGTCATGGGGACCATTGTTGTTATATTAAGAAACTTTGTACATCATATCTCATACTTTTGTTGTATGTAGATGATATGCTTATTGAAGGTTCAAGCATGGATGAGATTGTTAATCTCAAGGCACAACTGTCAAAGGAATTTGTAATGAAGGATTTGGGTTCTGCAAAGAAAATTCTTGGGATGCGAATTAGTAGGGACAGGGTAAGTATGAAGTTGAAGTTGTCACAGGAGGAGTAAGTTGAAAAGGTGCTGAAAAGGTTCAACATGGAGAGTGTTAAACCAGTTAGCACACCTTTTGCAAGTCACTTCAAGCTTTCAAAGAAAAGTGTGCAGTAACAGATGAAGAGCAGAACTATATGTCAAAGGTTCCATATGCCTCGGTGGTAGGCAGTTTGATGTATGTTATGGTTAATGTAAGGCCAGATATTGCTCATGCAGTAGGAGTTGTCAGCAGGTTTATGGTAAATCCGGGTAAGGAGCATTGGGAAGCAATCAAGTGGATTCTGCGCTACTTGAGAGGTACTTCAGATTTGACTTTAAGTTTTGGGGGTTTTAATGTTTGTTTGCAAGGGTTTGTAGATTCTGATTTAGCAGGGGACATTGACAGCAGAAAGAGCACTACATGGTATGTTTTTACATTGGGTAGTGCAACAGTCAGAGGGTCTCGAGGCTACAGAAAATAATGACTATTTCAACAACAGAGGCGGAGTATGTTACAACCACGGAGGCATGCAAGGAGATGGTATGACTGAGGAGTTTCATGAAAGAGTTGGGTAAGGAGCAAGACAATTCTAAATTGTTCAGCGATAGTCAGAGTGTTATAGATCTGGCAAAGAATGCAGCTTTTCATTCGAGAACCAAGCATATCGACATAAAGTATCACTTTATTCGCTCTTTGTTGGAGGATGGGGAGTTCACTTTGGAGAAGATTCACACAAGGGATAATCCGGCAGATATGTTTACGAAAGTGGTTATTGTGGAGAAGCTGAAGTCTTATTCAGCTTCTGTGGGTCTCTCAGCTTGAGGACAGAAGAAAGAGCTGTAGGGGGATGAGAGATTGTTTTTTGGAAGGATTGTAGTTTGATGTTGGTGTTTGAACTAGTCTCCAAGTGAGAGAATTGTTAGTTTTTTGTGGAGTCTAGTTTGTATATGTGATCCAGATGATGACCTGACCCGAAGTAATGTTGTGTGGTTTTTTAATGGAAAATTTTCTGAGGCTTAGTCCATGGACAAGCCTCGTGAGGGTTCCCCCGAGGAAAATTTTTGGGTCTGTTATATAGCCCAATACGTAAGACATATAAAATCCGTTGTTTTGGTGATTAGGGTTAATATGGTGAATTGTACAACCGCTCTCTGTATTCAACTCTCTCAATAGTAAAATTCCTGTAGTTTCGTGGACGTAAGCAAATTGCCGAACCACGTAAAATCTGTGTCTTGTTCTTTCTTGTTACATATTACTTTATATTCTTGATTTGTTTTTCGATTATGTGTGTTTATTAGTGGATTTAAATTGTTGTTAAATCCCAACAACTTTGGATGGTCCGAATGGTTATGCTTTGTTAAGGTTTTTACAAGTTGATTTCTCACGTAATGTTCAGTTGAAATGCATCTGGGTGAAGTGGTTATGTCCCACTGCTGGTTTGTTGAAACTCAATACTGATGGAGCTTCTAGAAATAATCCAGGAGTTGTAGGAGGAGGAGCTGTTGTGAGAAATGAGTGGGGGAAAATTGTTGTGGCGGCGTCCTTTTATTATGGGGAGTGTTCAAACATGACTGCTGAATTTCGAGCCTTGGCTGATGGTTTAAAGCTGGTTTTGGATTATGGGTTGTCTTGCTATAGCTTGGAGATTGAATGCGATTCCTTGGTTTTGGTAAACTCTGTTCTGGGTGTTTTTGCTTGTCCCTGGTTTTGCCTGGGCTATTTGAGGCTTATTAAAGATTATTTGGGACGTTTGGAGTTTCGCCTGGTGCATATTTTTCGGGAAGCAAATGGAGTAGCTGATAGACTTGCTGGACATGCTGTTAAGGACAGAAATTCTGTGGATTTTTCGGTAGGATTGCAGTTGCCTTGTGAGGTTTCTTTGGCCCTTCGGTCTGATCAGCAGGGATTACCTGTACTGCGAAAAAAAGAGAGAGTTGTTTTTGATGATAAGGGCTAAGACAAACTATATAGTTTTTGCCTTTAAAGTCTATGTGTTTATTGGTTTGAAAGTTGTAGAAGGGAGGAGCTGCTATCTTGAAGGTTTTTGTTTTGTGATGGAAATACTATTGTTGTTGCCTTGCTGGTTTTTAGCCAAAGTGTTGCTGCTGAAGTTTTTTTGGAGGTTGCTGCTGGAGCTTCTTTGGTTGGAGTTTTTTTGGACTTTTGTTTTGTTTCTTGTTATGGAAAGGCTTGTGTGCCTTATCTTTTGCTTCTTGTAAATGGTTTGGCACTTTGTGATTAAATAAAATTTTATTTTTTGGAAAAAAAAAAAGGGACTCAACAGCCTATTCAAAGATTATGAAAATTAAATCAAGGGTTAATTATACTTGAGATCTTATTTTGATCACCAATATTTTAATTACATTGTTTTAATTCATGAAGTATTAAATATGTTTCTATGTCGTCCTTTAAAAAAAAAATGTTCATATTACTAATAATTTTTTATCATAAACTTCTTACGTGATATCTAAATATGGGCACAAAATAATTTAAGTAGCTCTTAATAAAATTTTTACTCAAATTTGGTCAAAAGAGCTACCTAAATTATATATTTTTGATCATGAACTACCAAAATTTTGGTTAAGAGCTTTCCAAATTATACATTTTTGGTTAAGAGCTAACTAAATAAATTTTTTGTCCATATTTATGTATCATATTATAAATTTATGATTAAAATAGTTAGTAATTTAGCCGTCGTCTACTTGAAGGACTACATAAAAATATATTTAATATTTCAATGACTAAAATAATTTAATTAAAATATTGGGGACCAAATAAGACAAGCTCCATATTTTAAGAATCTCCACTGTAATTAACCCTTAAATCAAATTATGTTAATAGATTGAGAAAATCTCATTTTTTCCACCTAAAAGATATAAAAAATTTTAATTTACCCCACAAATGATTAATTTTCTCATATTATCCCCAAACAAATACAAATGTTGTAAGGTGGTCCAAAAATATTTTTATTACAATATTTTTGAATTATATTATAATGTTTTTATTTTTTTAAGGGCCAATATAAAAAAAGTAATCGAATAAACTAAACTTTTTTTATATCTTTTAAAGAGCAAAATAATTTTTTTTAATAAATAAAATCTAAAAAATATTTTTTTAAAAATAGGGTTAATCTCATTTTACACCCTGAAAGATCGATCGAATCTCAATTTGTACCCTCAAAGAGCAAAAATCTCAATTTGCACCCTCAAAGATAGAAATTTGTATCAATGTGCACCCCCAAAGATCAAAAATCTCAATTTACATCCTCAAAGATAGAAATTTGTATCAATGTACACCCCCAAAGATCAAACATCTCAATTTGCACCCTCAAAGATAAAAATTTATATCAATGTGCACCCCAAAGATAAAAAATCTTAATTTGCACTCTCAAATATAAAAATTTGTATCATTATGTACCTAAAACTAAATTGATAAATTATACCTAGATCCCCTTATGCTTGTCACTTAATTATTTGGATATCTTTACATTTAGAATATTACTCTTACATCTCATGACATTTATGCACGTACAACATGTAACCCATTTTCATTGATATCTGTTAATATAACCGTTAAAAAATATAATTTTATCCTAATAAAAAATTATAATTTCATATTACCCTTATTTTATGGGTCCAATATACTCTAAAGTTCAAAATTCATTTAAATGTCTAATAAAATGTAGATATTTATATAATGTTTTTCATATTTTTCTTTATATAAATATTTACATTTTATTAGACATTCAAATGGTAAGTTTGATTTTGAACTTTAGAGTATATCAAATCCACAAAATAAAGAGTAATATGAAATTATAATTTTTTATTAGGATAAAATCATATTTTTTAACGATTATATTAACAGATATCAACGAAAAGTGGTTATATTTACACATGTATAAACGTCATGAGATGTATGGATAATATTTTAAATGTGAAGGGGTTCAAATGATTAAGTGACAAACATGAGGGGATCTAGGTATAATTTATCAATTTAGTTTTAGGTGCACATTGATACAAATTTCTATCTTTGAGGGTGTAAATTGAGATTTTTTTATCTTTGGGGGTGTACATTGATACAAATTTTTATCTTTGAGGGTATAAATTAAAATTTTTTATTTTTAGAGGTATAAATTAAAATTCGAACGATTTTTCGGGGGGTGTAAAATGAGATTAACCCGAAAAAATAGGGTGACGTGGTAAGAGATCAGGCGTAAGCCCCGACTCCATTCAGCGCTAAGATCAGCAAAATCAGCCGGTCTAATTGGCGCTACGACCGCCACAGTAAAGCCCTACTCCGACTCAGACTCGGTCTCTCCCCTTCTCTCTACAAAATACGTCACACAGACAAAGCTCACGCCAGCCTCTTCCGACTCCGAGCGAAAATTGTAGAACAAAGGCCACATTCTTTTGTGTTTCTCTTCGGATCTGAGTTCTGATTGATACAGATGGATCGGTATCAGAGAGTAGAGAAGCCTCGGACAGAGACGCCGATTAACGAGAATGAAATTCGCATAACCACTCAAGGTAGGATGAGGAATTACATTACTTACGCCACCACTCTCCTCCAGGTATTCTAGTTTCTCTCTACGTATAGCTGTGTATATATGTATTGTTATCACTTGATTTTCTCTTAGTGTTAGACTTGATGTCCCCCAATTATTTCATAATCATTATCATTATTGTCTGTTTTTGAGAATTTTTTTTTGAATTTTTTAATCAGAAAACAATGAAATTTCATCAATGTGAATTCATTAGGGCGGTCTCGTAGATTTATTTATCGTTTCCCTTCTCTTGCTTTGTATCTTATGCATATTAATGTGTATTTTGCAGGAGAAAGGATCTAACGAAATTGCTCTGAAGGCAATGGGCAGAGCTATTAATAAAACTGTGATGATTGCTGAATTGATTAAGGTTTATGGCCCTGTTTGACAGTTTTTGTTTCTTTCTCTTAGTTGTTTATCCCTTCCTTTTGTTGTTAAGTTTGCTTGTGCAGTTCTTAAATAGCTTTTCTTTGAATATTTTTGTACCTTTGTATCTGCATTTATACTCAAAAGATTATTTTTCAAATTAATAATTGAAGCAGAGAAGGATTGCTGGCCTTCATCAGAATACAACAATTGGTTCTACAGATATAACTGACACATGGGAACCACTGGAAGAAGGACTTCTTCCGTAAGAACTAGAGAATCCTCTTCCCCTTATGTATCTAATTTGCTATCTGTAGTGTGTTGTTTAGATGGTTGGCTAAGATATTTCTTTGGATTCTTTCTAATGCAGCCTGGAAACTACTCGCCATGTCTCGGTTATAACAATAACCTTGTCCAAGGAGGAGTTGGATACATCATCCACAGGGTAAGGATGATATAGACTTTTTGTTTGAAGTTGTTGCCTCATGTTTTCAACTTGAGTTTTTGGATTGGTGATGTAACATTGTGGTTAATTAGCGCTAGGCGATCATAACATAGATTGTACAAGTAGAGATCAGTCTATTTTTTTGTTTCTGGTTCATCCCTGCTTGCGAAGACTAATGTAATTAGTTCCTTTGTTCGAAAAGTGGGAGAGGTAGAGGTAAATGCCTGTTATTGGTTCCAACTTAACCTTTGAAGTTTGATCCTGATGTTCAATGCTTGTAGTGGTTTGCCTCTGGTTGTAGGGGTGTTATCAGGTGTAGGTAGACAGATAGATAGCGAGTAGAAATAATCTGTATTTGTGTGGTCATGATTGCTTGTCCTTGTTAATCAGTGCCTTTCTCTTTTAATCTATTTGTGCATGTTACTTGGAGTCTTTCACTTGATGATGCTTTGTGTTCCTTAAGATGCCTTAATTATTTTGATTATACAATTTTCAGTGTTCAGATTGTCTACTTGATGACGGTTTTAGCGGCAGATGTTAAATCACCTGAGACATGTGTAACTTTTTAGTTAGTTGCAGAAGTCCTTAGCCAGCAGTGCCAATAATAATCTTAGAGGATTACTTTAGGATTTTGATGGATTATGTGTGTTGCATAGGATTTGAGCTGCTGTGTTTGGGTTCCTTCCTCAATATTTTGGTTGTTTGATCATCATATGCGAAGTCATATTCAATGGTCAAAGATGTAGGAGCCTCATAATGCATGTGTTATTGCTCCCTTCAAGTTTACCTATGAATGGTTAGTCATCCCACCTATGCTAAAACACAGGTACCAACCACCTATTCCGGCTGATCAAGTGAAACCGTGGAATGAAAATGATCATGAAGGAGGTAATGTACTGATAATGTGTTTGCTAATTATTCTCTCTTTTTGGAATTTAAATAATCTTCTGTTTTTTTCTTTGTCTATTAGAGGGATCTCCTAGCCTCCGAGGAAGAGGACGTGGTGGTCGCGGAAGGGGTAGAGGTACAGGTAATTTATTTTGTGCTGTATTTCTTTTAATTCGACTGTGTGGGGAAAAAACTTTTATTTCCTTCCTTGTGTGTTAGTTATTAGATGTGCTGCAATTGAAAGATAGATGAACAATTATTGCAAAAAAGAGCTTCTAAAGCCACTAAAAGTTTTATGGCTTGAAGGACATGGATGTAGGCGAAGCACAGATAAAATGCTAATGCACTTTCAGAAAAGAAAGAATAGAAAATAATTCAACTCATAAAGCCTTAGGATTTGAGGTTAGAAACATGAGTCCTTTCCCAATCTGTTGTTTACTATAGGCTTATGGGGTATGGAATGCTATCAGCTGTTAAGCTATAGGCTGGCGCCACTTGAACCAACACATACAGGATTGTCGACAAGATCTTTAGTTTTTTTTGGAAAGTGACAAGATCTTTAGTTGTGAGTGGGAGGAGCCTGCACAGTTGAATAAATGATTTTCACATTGTTGGAGTGCTAAAAAAAAGTTGCACCATCAGTTTATCAACTTTGGAGGCATCCTTGCCACCACCCTCAAGTAGGAAGGTATAAGGTTCCCGTCCTAGAGGGGAAATAGATGTTCTTTTTATCACTTCGGACCTGGCCCGACAAAAAGGGGAGAAAGAAACAAAGAATTAGTCAAAAGATGTGGGAGAAAAATCATGATTCAAAAGTTGGCCAGAGTTTGTTGGTTGTCATTGATTAGAACTGAGTTCTAAACATAGATATGTGAACCCAAATCATTTGCTTATATGTTATGATTACCTGCCCTTGTATTGTTGTGAATTCAAGTAGTTGGGGTCGAGGTGACAGATACGCATAAATATGGTTATTACTTCCTTTTGAGAGCACTGACTGATTAATAAATGTGTTTTACAGGCTTGAAATGTCATTCCTTTCTTTGTTTGATAAGTTAAAAGAGCATGAAACATGAGTAATCTATTGTTTAACTCGTTCCCATAAACGTGTTCATTTGATGTGCTGCACTCTATTCTTGGTGACCCCATTCCCTGTGAAACTAGCTGTGTGATTATATGACTGTATGAAGATCTGGGAAACAGTGCTACAAATCTGACAGAAATTATGCATGATTATATCTGGCCAATTTGTATCATGTATTTGAGATATTCATTTTGTTCTTGAATCTCACTCGAGGGATTTATGATTCTGTTTCTGCCTTCTAAAATATTGAAAAATTTGCTTGGGAAGGACGGAAGTAATAAAAGCTTCTAATGGCTAGACATTGATACCAGGCATCTTGGTTGTAGGTTGATAAGATGATGGAGTAAGACTTTTTTATACATTTATGTGTGCTTGGAAGTTTGTAGCTACATGTAAAAGTATTAAGGGGGAGGCCTTATGCTGTAGCACATTGAGAGTATGCCATGTTAAATTAGATAATTTTTATTTAAAGAAAAAAGTTTTCAATTAGACTTTAAGTGCAGTTGATCTACCCAGTGGAGCATATCATATGTTGATTCTGATATTTAGTAGACTAATCCTGCGTTTGTCTATTTGGTTGCGTATACAGTGCATTATAATTGGTTTGCTTGCAATTTTCTAGCCGTACAAAGTTTTAAGTGGTTTGCTTGAGTTTACATGTCTTGCTTCCCATTTTTCCCAATTCGAGGTAAAGGATGTTGTATGATTTTTTTTCCATCCATTGTATGAAACAGTTTAATTCAGCATGGGAATCTGGTTAACTCCTTGGAGGAAAAAAGAATAAAAAAAACTAGGTAGTGGGAGTGGTTGCTTCAGTATTTGAACTGCTGGAAGATTTTTTGCTGATGAATTGAATTAAACATTGACATACACGCTTATCTGTTGAGAGACAAACAGATAAAGTGATTGGCTGTAGATGTGTTGCTTGACATGTAGCTAAAGATACTTTTGATTTGTACTTGTATACTCTTTTTCTGGTTCAGTGTGGAATTAACAGTGGTGGTGATTTATCTTCTTGTGTGGTACATATAGGGAATTATAACAATGGAGTGCTAGTATACAATGGAGATGGTGGCTACGAGGATGGGCTTGGATATGGTGCAAGAGGTCGTGGTCGGGGAAGAGGCCGTGGTTATCGTGGGCGTGGAAGAGGCTATGGTGGTGGTGATATGCAACAAGAACCAGGTGGTTACAATAACTATGGTGGATCAGGGGCAATGCCTGCTCAAGGTCGCGGTAAGCTCACTTTTATGTGCTTTATCAACCTTAATTTTGCTAAACAATTAATCATATGACATCTCATTATTGAAAAGTTGTGTAGTCAGACATGGTGGTTATCAAGAGTTTAATACACACAAGTGGTGACTTCAACTTGAAAAGACCTTTAAAGATAAAAGAAAAAAAATGGAGGCTCCTTGATTAGCTGTCCGCACTTTTGTGACAGCGCTTTTTAATGGTTGTTATTTATACATAAATTTGTAAGTTGGTGCAATAAATTGCATACGCTGACATCAACGGTGTAAATGGGGATTTATTATTATGCGGTAATAGAATACACTCCATTATATTGCAAATCACCCTGTTTTTGCTTAGTTCTTTGTCTTCGCTTGGAAATGTTTTGTGCTATAAATGGTTAAGAGCAGTGTTTTTCTAGGATGTCTGTGTTTTGAATCAGTTGAAGCTTTCAACGATGCTCTTATTTTGATTTTCATTGTTGAGAATAAGTTAGTATTTTTAAACTTTATCAACATGGCCTGATGCATTGCTTTTCTGTATTTAGATTGAGAAACCTTGTCCCTTGTCGAGTGAGGACAAAAGTCTATTGCTTAAAAAACATCTGATGTCGTAATTTCTTAACCAATTAGTTGTTCTTGTCCAACTAGATATAACACTTCATGGTTGGTGAATCAGAAAATAAAAGAGTGCGACTCCAGACCATTTCCTTGTTTAATTTCCTTGACAAAATGTCCAAATTTAACTCTTTTTTTTAAAGAAAATAACCTCACCATATTGTATTACGATATACTAACATATAAGCTATGTTAAACCTTTCAGGGTATGGCCGTGGGCGAGGGCGGGGCAGGGGCCGTGGGCGTGGGCGTGGTCAAGATTTCAGATCAGATGGTCCGGTCCAGGCAGCTGCCTGAGTCTTAGACAGTGACCTACAGAATGTGGTTTTGTTAAATATTTTGGATGCCTGCTCTGCTAATTATCTGATTCTAAACATTAGAGGAAAAAAAAAAGAAGGAAAAAGTGGATTTTAGAAAACTTTATAGGGATATTGTTTATAGTGAGCTGCTACCGTCTTTTGGAGCGGGTATGTTTTTGTAGTTTGAATATAGGATTATTCAAAGTTGACTGAAACTCGGTTGTTGTACACTTTCATCTTTCCTTTAGGAAATAATAGAGCAGTACATTCTTTCATTCTGAATGTCGATTTAGCATTCCTTTTGTTGAAGATATGTCCTTTGTTTTACTTTGATATGAGCCTTCAGCTGTGGTTTTTGCTTCCAAGGTTTTGTCAAGAGGATGAAATTGATGTATTTTGGGCATGTCATTGGCATGTTGGTCACTGAAGTATTATAACTCTCCTGCAAATCCTCTTTCTGTTAACTTCTTCCCTGGTTTCTTACATGTCACCTCTTCTTATTTTGGCTCGACAATTGTAGACACCGACCCAATTGCTGGGAAATGTGTATCTATCTTTCTTCAGATTGATCTATATATACTATGGTGTTGTACGTATTTTCAATGCAAGTCTTGAGTTCTAGCATCCATTTATATATTCTTACTAGGGTTACCCGTACCGGAAGGTATGGTTCAACGTAAATTATATGGTTAAATTGAAGAAGTGAGGTGTGTAGATCCCAGAGAGAGAGAGAGAGAGAGAGTGAGGAGAGGAAGATAAAATTCAATGTGAATGATTTTGAGAGAGAGGTTAGTGAATGTTTGATGAGTTTATTTGATATCGTCAAATAAGTTTATTAAAACTTGTTATGTTTTATATTATAAATTATAGGTGCCACACAAAAGCTGCATGCATAAGGATAGGGTATTGCTCATTAAAAGCCGACTACAACTACAATGCTGCATCCTTCGGTTTTAGTTGTTTCTACCAAGTGAAATCAGTCTTAAAAAAAAAAAATATTTAGTATCAACCTCATAAAAACCTGTTCGAGGGCTAAGTATGTGGTTTTGGTTATTGAGAATCTCTCTCCGATACGCGTGCGTGCGTGCGTGCACACACACACATATACATAGAGTCTGCCATTGAAGTTTACAGTTCAAACATGAGGTGATTGGCCAGGGCGGAGCTAGGATTCTATTTTAGCGGGGGCAACAGCATAAATGAATAATATAACCAATTAGTATTTAAAAAAAATTTCTGCATCTCCATTAATTAGGATTAAATTAGGTGTAAATTTCACACAATTTTTTTAATATTTCAACTATGAGAAATACATTAAGATCCAAGATTTAATTATTCTATAAAAATTAAAATCAAAATCATGTCAGATTTAATAAAATATGAAAAAACAAAAATAATAATATTTTTATAGCACATTTCAACTCAAACCATTTATTAAAGAGAAACACAATGACACTGTTTTTTTTTTTAATTCAACGGTCAGGTGTATTCGGGCCAATTTATATACATTTTAACTAATTTTTTTCTTGGTCCGGTTAAAGACAAGTCATCCACTCTGGGACTAAGGTATTCATAAGGGATAAATCCCTCATCGCCTGAACCTAAGGAATTGCTAAACTTTGAACTTAAGATATCCGTGTTTACAATTCATCCATGTTACCATACTATTTTAAATCTTAAGAATATTCTATAATTGATCAATTCTCAGATATATTTCAAGGCAACGTCTTTTAATCGTCTATAATTGATGATCAAAAGAAAAAGTGCAATTTCTGCAATGTCAAGTTTGTAACGTCACCTTATCACAAATAATGTAATTACTCATGACTAACAATTAATATTTATTATGTAAAATTAATATTTTTTTTATGGTAATTTATTCGTAGTCATTACACTCACGTCACAAAATGGGAGACTAATGGATTTCAAATCCCAATAGCCTCACAAATTAATTTTTATAATGGGAAGGATGAATTATTTTTAATTTTTTTTGATGAATATCACAACAACATTGATTACAATTTTTTATATAACTAGAAATTCAACATTAAAGATGATTTGTTGAATTACCCGAAGGAATAACATTCTTGATTATGTTACTATTTGGCCCCGAACCATAAAATTTTGACTCAATTTCTGGTTGCTTGGGATTTGGTCTTAGATCTGAGTCTCTCTCAAATATGGACTTAATGATATGAGACTACACTAAAGATGCTTTTGATTTAATTTTTATTCATTCTATATTCAAGATTTACCAATCATGTCAGCTATTTGAGTTTTTTGTCTGGGTCAGTATAGTATTGTTATGTTTGTACCCAATCTCTCTCTCCCTCTCTTCCCCCACCCTAGACCAATTGGAATCAAACTGTGTAATCTCCAACGTTATCAGAATTGGATCCGATTCATCTGTCAGATCGTGAATCGGATTCTAGACTGGTTTGATTTATTAATTGGACCGTCCAAATAATTGGACTGGTCCTAAATTACAAAACCGTCCAATTTTTTAAAAAATGGTCTATTTTTAAAAATCTGTCAACTCATTTATTGTTTTTTAAATCCATTTTTCTGAGCAATTTTGCCCTAAACCAGTTGTCTTCTCCTGCTCTCCACCCCCTCTCTCTCTCTCTCTCTCTCTCCGGGCCTATTCTCCACTTCCTCGTTACGAACAGTGGCTTGATAACACTGGGTCTTCTTTCATCTTGTTGGGTCCTCTCTCACTCTCTCTCTCTCTCTACACACAGTCAATACATACACACACAGTTGATACTTACACACATTCGATACAAGATAAACTATATTATGTTTTATATTTTATATTTTTTATTATATAACTGGTCCGACCATTGACTCAATCCCTCAGTCGGTTTGATGGCCGGTCCGTTTGTGATAACATGGTAATCACTCTTTGTTATCCTACTCTCTTTTTGTGGAGTAAATATTGGGTGTAATTGTAACCATCCAATAAAAAAATAACAAAAAGAATAAAATAGGGTTGATTTCTTACCGTAGAGGTAATTATATATTATATAGTTAGGTGGTTATGAGTTTTAATAGGGCTCATTTGTCGATTTATTTATCTATTAGTGAACGGTTATACCACGTGACACTGCAAACGTGTATAATAATTACACCAAATATTTTTTCCTTTACGTGTATGTCTAAAAAAAAAAACATTTTCTTTCAAACCATTAATCATTGTCAACTTATGTAGTAAGACTTGATTTTTGTCGTGACCTTGTCAAGTTGTTGAGGTCTATCAATCCATTTGTGTGGTCTCAGTATGGTCATGGATTTCTTTCTGTGCGTGCAGGATCTTATACAATATAAAAAACAAGAACAGATCTCTTTCTTGGTGAATTCGAGTGAGTCAATTGAGTGGTCAACCACACTGCTTGGGACAGCCTGTGAGGTCCGATGATAACCTGGAACGGCAACGGGAGACCCTCGTGAATTGAAGGAACGATCCAGTAAGGCTAGAGAAAGGTTCTTAGAACAAAGAAGAACAAGTTAGAAGGGCGCCGGAGTGTTTTCCGGCGTATCCCCTCCGACGATCAAGTCAGTCTTTGAGAGAGAGAGGAAGAAGAAAACACTGAGTGTGTATTGTAGCAAAGGTTTTTTGTTGTATACCGTCTTGCCTTTTACGAGGAGTATTTATACATCAAAAGCTCATGATTGCTGTCAGTGTTGTCAGTAGGTGATCATTAGGTACAGACAGTGTGCGCACTGATTCTGATGAGGAATGTCTTCTCTTCTTTAACTGCTCGGAGTCCCGAGCAATCAATGTTGTGTCATCGGGCTGCCGACTGTCCAATGAGCTCCACTCGGGGAGGATGCAATAAATGCCCAGCCTTAGAGACATCTATTGCCTTTCAATTCCGAGCCTTACCGCATTGAATGCGGTCTCATCAAGGGAATGGTGTAATTAAATATTTGCTTTCCCAAGTCGCGTGTCAGCAAGGGCATGCAGTCTTTCTGTCTCTGATGTGACACAATTTGCCACGCGTCCATCCCTCATTGGCTGTGGACCTTGCCTTTCTGTGCCTTCTGACACCAATTGTGTAAGACGAGACCATGATAGCTAACCTAGACTAGCTTAGGCTAACGACCTGTACATCAATAGCTTATACTGGAGCAGAGAAAATGCATCCTGGAAGGGGGTACATCTCGGTACCGAGGAGAGGTATATCTCGAGCCGAGGGGAGCTGTACATGGCGACCGAGGTATCATATTAGACCGAGGGATACGTGTCGGTTCGTAAAACGTACTTGACCATGTCAAGTACCTCGGGGGGCGAGGGAGTTGTAAGCCGATGGTACGTGATCTCAGTAACAGGATTTTTAGTAACGCCGAGGACACGTGTCTTGATCTTGGAGTATTTCAGAAAAGTTCCATCAACTGCCCCCCAGCTTTCGATCTTCTGATGCCGAGGACACGCGTCGTAAGGAGACGAAGGGTTTCCCAACAACCCCAACCCCAACGAAAGGCGCCTTTTATGTGAAGACCCTGGTCCATTACCGGACCCCTGTCTTCCAAGGGCATTCCTCCCATTACCGGGATATCCCGCCCTCCACCAAAGGATTTCGGCTAACCTGCGGGGCAAACCCCCACAGTAGCCTTTACCTCTGTCCCACATCGGGGAAAGAGTCGTCTCCCCACCCCCATATAAGCCGAAGCACCATATGAGAGCAGTACCCAAGTAGCACAGTGGTACTTGGGTACTGCTCTCATATGGTGCTTCGGCTTATATGGGGGTGGGGAGACGACTCTTTCCCCGATGTGGGACAGAGGTAAAGGCTACTGTGGGGGTTTGCCCCGCAGGTTAGCCGAAATCCTTTGGTGGAGGGTGGGATATCCCGGTAATGGGAGGAATGCCCTTGGAAGACAGGGGTCCGATAATGGACCAGGGTCTTCACAGGGAAGCCTTCTTGGGGATCTTTGTGGAAAAACCCCCTCTATTTTTATCACTTCTTGAACATGCCTCGTCGTCGTCCTGCCCCCGAGAATCCTCAGGCTAGTACTTCGAGGCCAGGGAAGTATAAAGTAAAAGGTAGTGAACAAATTAATAGATTTATGGTTAGGTACGGCGTTCCACCGAATGTAGATGTAGCGGATTATGACGCGGCTATGCACCCTCGTACCCTCGGTACCGAGGATGAAATGCCTTTTTATATTAAAGCCATTATAGAAGGCGGAATTAGGTTCCCTTTGCCCCCTCTGCTTTTCCAGTTCCTCTCTCATTTTCACCTCTTTCCCGGGCAGTGTTGCCTTAATGTCTTTAGGATAATTATGGGGGTCCTAGAGC